TGTCTCCCACGGTGGAACCATGGGATGAGGGGGCAACGCTTGCCCCCAAAGCTTCAGCAAGGCGCCCGGATGCCTCAGGCAATCCGGGAATCCCGGGAGCAGACGCTGAAGCGGAGGACATTAGTACAGTCTTTCCATATGAAGGGGGCCCCGAGTTCATTGAATAGATGGAAGACGAGAATTATTCCCTTGGTCCAGCATCTGAAAATATGTTTCGTAGATTAAGTCTTCCGCCTGCTCTTGATGAAAGACAGAATCAGCCCCCGCACACGGATCCTAGCGATGGGGATCAAGAGGGGCGCGCCGTTTCATTCAAGGGCAAACGGCTATATGCTGCGGCAGAAGAACGTGGGAAAATCAGTCGGAAGACACCTGGACCATTGAAGCAAATGGTCCATGACTCACATGTGACTGGCCCCGTTCCGCCGCACATCGAAGCCATACGCAATCGGACAGGTAACACACTTCGGTATATGACCGATTTTGCGGAAGACCCGATTTTCGCTCTGTTGGGGAGTCTCAATCAGGATGATGGCACCTTTGAACAGGCGAAGGATTTTCTGAGAGCCGAATTTCATTCCGATGATGTCCCAGAAGGGTTTACCCTGGAGGCCTTTATGTGTCTTGAGCCACTGGTAGTTGGTGTCGACGACAGAGAAGATCCGGCTGCTTTGGGCAGTTCGGACACTTGGTGCACTCAGAGCTGCCGAGCAGATGTATTTGCAGAGAAAATAGGCAAGTGCGCTGTGTACCTCGCAAGGCACTGTTCTGACTATACGAGATCGTCGGGAGGCTGGGCCTATTTTGGAGACCTGGTGCAGAAAATTAAAGACGACGGTTTTACTTTTCAATCATATGCCCTTGCTGCGCACGGCTTAGCCGCGTTGCCACCAGAGACAGATGAAGTTTTGGGCATACTCCCCAAGGATAGTTATAGGATATCGGGACCAGTGCCTATGACATGTGGGGCACGATATAAGACGTGTCCATCGCAAGAGGAAGAGAGGAGTGAGACACCCATACCCACTTTCTATCGAGCATGCCAGGGACATTCAACATTCGTTGCTTCGACTGAAAGAATGTATGTCCCGTATGGCCCTGGCCAAGCCAGGGGTCACGGATCTCTTCTTCATATCGCGGACTTGCAGACATTTCTGGAATCTACGGATGGAAGAGTCCGTTTCCCGAAGAGTGATTCAGGGCTTTGTCGCGACGCAGACTATGAGTTGCTGCGATTGCTTCCAACGAACAGGAGCCCTACAATGCCTGATCCCACACGTATCCCTCCGTGGCTCAGCCAGCGGAAATACGGATAACCTCTCCTTGCAAGGAGCCTAGTGCCCATGGGCAATGTGGCGCAGAGAGGAGAGCCGCCAACGGTGGACTTGGCCCGCAGATGACACCAACCACCTATGGCAACAACTTCCCAACCATCGCGAGTCATGGGAACTTGTTCTTGTTTTCACCGGCCGAGTGCTCACTCTCTTTTCGCACAGGGTTTGCCCAGACGGGACCATAGCGTCTCGAGAGGTGACGAAGTTCACTGACATAGACAGAGCTGTTTCCTTCGTTAAGCAGACGGACCAGATGCGCTGGTCGGTACTTTTCAACCGCGAGTGGGCTTCGTACGAAGTGACTTTCGACAATGAGTCGATCATTGCTTGGACCCACACAGACGAGAGCTTACTGTTGTCGTGGAATCGTCGGCCAGCGCTGACACCCGAAATCCAGGGCCGGTTTCTATCCGTTCCTTGGGAAGATGACGGGAGGTTCCTGTGCTTCCGTTATCACTGGGTGAGGGCGGGTTTTGCACAGTGTCCTGTCTGCAGCTGTCCGATTAAATACAAATATAGGGCCACGCGCGATTACATGACTCAGACATGGAATCATACCACAATCCCGCTGTCCCTTGAGGCGAGTGGCCTGGTATTAGAGGTGATAAACCAACGCGATCTCCCCTGGTGGGATCGTCCCCAGTACATAAAGGTGCGTGGGGAACGACAGCCGAGAGCTTCTGCGCTATTAATGAAGAACATCAGCAGTAATCATCAGCAGGAGCGAAAATGGGCGAATGGGGAATGCGCTAAACTAGCGGCAGCTGGCCAGATATTCGGCAATAGCCTGCCGGGCAATTTCCCGGCTTGGGTGCCGGAGAACGCCGTGGCTCAGCCACCGGCGCGCCATGCCCCTTTCTTCCAATATTTAAGGCCATTGGTCAGACGGTTCATATCTTGGCTTGAGTATGCAGCCAAAATGGTGAGCAGGCGGGCCCCGGCGATTGATACCTGGTGGCCGGAACTATGGAAGACAAACTTTGACAAATGTGCTCGCCCAAGAAGTTGCCCAGCTCTGGCCGCTTTTGAATGGCCGAATGAAAGGGGCGACTTAGTCGTGCCCTTGAGAGGCTGGGATAGGTGGTATAGTGACATGACCAGATCAAATGTCTTTGTCCCAACGCTTCAAACAATCGATGATGTGGTAAACTTAGGGAGACCGTGGTTACCCGTGCAGGATGAAAGCGTCGTGGAAGACGTAGAAGCAAACACCGGAGGGGAAAGCCCCCCCGCGCGATTGCCGCGCCGTCTGGGGGAACAATTTCAGAGCGAGGCCAACTCGCAGTTCCCGGTCCGTTTCAGGACGGGTCAATGAATGTCGGGACCACCGCCTCATAGTCCCAGCATTGCTACGTGCCACCGGCGAAGCCGCGAGGGCAGGTGAACAATCACAAATGGGACTGGACTTTCCGGCAATCAGCGGGCCTAAGGCCGCGCTGATAACCGAGGGGGCGATCAACCTTGATCTTCCCAACGGACATGTGTACAATCACTGCGAAGACCACTCGATCATAATAACTTTGATCGGGACAGAGGCTCGGGCAATTGCGGCCCAAAATGTTGTCGAACATACAGGCGCCCGTCCGAGTAACCCTGGCAGGATAATGCTGCAAGGAGAAGTGAAACATGTGATCTCACCAATTCTCAATGCCATAGTGGATGGAAACTGGTTGGCCGCTGTGCAGCAGATGCACCTGTGTCTGAGGCCTATAAGGATTATTGCGCGAAATTATCAGCTCCTTTTATATCAGAAGGACATTTTATTGGATGCCCGGGGCGAATAATTCGCCCCGATGCAGCGAGCACAGATAATATTACTACGAAGCGACGGGCAGATGAGCATGCTCTTGACTGCCGTATTTGCGCCGCTGTTCAAACGGGCGACATAATAGAGAAGTGGGCCCATAAAATGGGCAGGAAGGTGCAGAATGATGTCCGTTGCCAGGTTGCTCTTATACAAGAAGCCATTCTTGGCTTCAGGACAAATATCCTGATCCTGGAACAGAGCTCCAGGATAAAGAGGATAGGCCCTTCCGCACTGCATGCGGAAGGCATGGTGCCCCAGTGGCGACTGCTGCTAGGAGTTTACTACAATTTATGCGAGATCATAAAAACGATGATCTGTACCACGACGGCCAAGCCGACCTCGCGGGGCCGAGAAGGGCACCGGATGAGGCGAAGGCTAGACCTTTAACGCCTCCTCCGCCGCTTAGACCCGACGTCCCAGACGTTCGGGCCCCTGACGACGCCGCCGAGCCCCCGCGGTCTGTCGCCGGCTCAGCCGTGACGACAAGAGAGGCACACCCACAGTATCCCAACGCTTGGGATCGGTCGGTGCCCCGGCGCGCGCGCGATGGGGCCATGGATGCTGGCCGCGGCGCTGCTGGCTACGACTACGACTACGACCCGTCCATGTCCTACCCGCGCTACGTAAACAATGTTCATGTCGGGTACTACGTCCACCGGAACCGGGTCACGTGGCTGACCGACGAAGAGTGGTGCACTCTGGATTACGGGCACATACTGCCTACGTATGAGCATGACAATCGCTTCCCAACCAAATGGAAGGCATCAAAGAACAAGGAGAAGAACTACAGTGCTTCAGATCAGGAGCGTTCCCGCTCGCCTCGCGGTGGAGAAGGATATGCTGGAGGCGCGGCGTCGTCGAACCCGCCGCCTCCGGAGCCGCCCGTGGACGGGTGCAACCCGTGGGGGGGCCTGAACTGAGTTTCGCCCGCGTGACTCAGTCGCTGCAGGCGCATGCAAGAAAGTTCTCATCCCCGCGCGGTGCGCGCGTTGGATGAGTCATTGCCTCTACTGGACGGCTAAGCCGGTCCAGCGGAGAGAATCTATTTAACATGATGGTGGGAATCGTCGGGCCTGTTCGGCCCTTGGCCCCCTGGCAGCCACCGTTGAGCCGTAAAAGGTTTTGGGGTTGGCTCCGGTGGTTTTGTATATGTATAGGCCAGGGGTGCTGTGGCTGGATGGGCTCTACGAGGCCCGCCGCGGGGGGAGTAAATATGCTCCTCTCCGCCTCATATTCATTAGAACTTAAGTTAACTTGCGTGCTACGCACTGTCTGCCTGAACTAATGCTGCATCCTGCAGCTGCGTTGATTGCTCAAGCAAGCTTGCCTTGGCTTGCAGGAGAGAAAAGGAGCGCGCCAGCCCTCGGCCGTCGCGCGTCGTCGGTCGTAGGCCAGCCGGCCTCCTCCCCACGCATTCTTGATCGAGTAATCTTGCTTAACGGATACTTGTCTTATCGATGTCTCGTCCCGCCCCCTCTCTCCCTGAGCAGAGTGAACATGAGATCTTAATTCCTTTGGCATCTTATCCCGATTCTCAGAGGAAAGACTCTCCCCCCCCTGTGGATGTGGTGTGGTGCTGTGGTGGTTCAGAGGTGGGCGTGGCGTGGTGCTGCGCTGCGGTGCCCCCCTCCCCCCCCTGTGGATGTGGTGTGGTGCTGTGGTGGTTCAGAGGTCGGCGTCGTCGTCGTCGTCGTCGTCGTCCTCGTCGTCGTCGTCCTCGTCGTCATCGTCGTCATCGTCGTCGTCGTCATCGTCGTCATCGTCGTCGTCGACGTCGTCATCGTCGTCGTCATCGTCGTCGTCGCCGCCGCCGCCGCCAGCGTCGTCGCCGCCGCAGCCGTCGTCGTCGTCGTCGTGGTCGTCGTCGTCGTCGTCGCCGTCGTCGTCGTAGTCGTCGCCGTCGTCGTCGTCGTCGTCGTTGTTGTCGTCGTCGTCTCTGGGACCATACCATTTGGGGGGGGGGGCGTGGGCCCCGAGCCCGGGACCATAGGTGTTCAGTTAGAATCCACCAAGGACGATGGCGCTACTGGAGTGCAATTAGCGTGTGAGAAAAGCACTATCCAAGAAGCGCCCTCCCAGGTGCGGATCACTGCCACAGCACTCGAGGTCGAGGAGTTGCTGGAGCTGCCGTGCGACGTGATCGCCATGGACGCCACGGCCCGGGCACGCCCGGGCCTGCAGGAGCTCGGCGCGCTGGTGGCGAGGGCGCACGCGGGGGGCCTGCTGGTCATGGGGGCAGCGAACCACGGTTATTGGGACGACCGCGGGGCTTTCCGTGCGAGGTCCCCGGACCTTTCGACACCATCTTGGGGGCCGGCTGCTCATCCCCGGTCGGTTTTCCATGCTCCCAGAGCCCGAAGAAACGGCCCTCCATTCCGCGGCCCAATGTTAAAAATACTGCAAATAGCTTCGTTTTGTTTTTGTTCCAAGACGCTGCTGGGATGACCGCTAGGGTTGCTACGGGGATAGGGGCTTCTAAGCGAATCCCAAAATGGTCATATCTGGCCCAACCTGGCTTATCAGCGGGTTTCAACTGCCCCAGGTGGCTTATGGGGTTAGACAATTCCGCTAAGTGGGTGAAGCCCATTGAGCCCAGATCGCGAACCCCCCTAAGCCACTTGGGACATCTGCAGCCTACTCATGAGCCCGGGCGGGCTAGATATAGCCACCTTGGCATCCTCCTGTGCCCCACTTATCCCCTTATCAACCCCGGCGGTCATCCCAATAGAGCTGATTGCATTTTTCTGGAGGGTCACTCGGGCGACATGAACACTCTGGTTGTGGTTGTGGTCGATTTGGTCGTCCTGGACGCCCACAGCATAGCGACCACAACCAGTGCTAAGCTGGTCTCGGTGTTCTGTCGATTGCTGGCATGCGCAATACATACGCCCCAGAGGACGGGCCCTCGATGTGATTGTGGTCGCTTGCCGTCCCCGCAGGTCATGGGGGACTGCGACGATCTTCGGGCGACGTCAACTGCCCAGACATGCTCGCGTCCTGAACAAAATCACGACGTGAGGTTTTTGACAGTTTTCGGCCTCCGGGTGCCCTCGCCAGGCTCCAGGACCGCCAGAAGACGACTCGCGATGAAAAACGGGCCCTGGGGAAAGGGTCGGGGTTCCTCGACACTCCGTATGGAAACAATCATGACATCGCGTGTCTGGGTGACCACCTCACCGATCCTGGCCAGGTCCACCCTGAGATCCCGGCGTCGAATTTTTTTCACACTGGGCGTTTTGGCCCTATGTCGGGCCTCCAGACCCTCGCAGATCGATCTTCCTTGAAAACGCCGCAGAATGATGGGGTCCAGGGCTCCAGTAGTGATTTGCTACCGTGTGGCAGTTTTTCGTGACGTCGGGTCTCAGGGTGTGCGCGCCCTCTTGGCCTGGCCGGAGAGGCGTGCACACCGATCCTGGGCCCATATTTTCGGACTCGCCAGGATCGGCGAGGTGGTCAGCCGACGCCGCCCGAGCCATCTGGCGTCCATGGAGCTCGCGGTGGCCGCCGGCGTGGACATTCGAAGAAGAAAGAGCAGCACAATCCTAAACTTTCGGAGCTCCTCGCTGACTTTTTGGATCGGCGCTGGACCCCCCCCTCCCTGGCGAGCGGAGCGCGCCATGGGGCGGCGCCAGGCGCGCCGGTCCACGAAGTCCGCTCGGAGCTCTGAAATTTTCTGCTTGTGCAGTTTCTGATTCCTCGGGACGTGGTCGGCTCGACGCTGGCTGGCTACACGGGCGCCCCCAGCACGCAGCGCAGGGGCCTCGAGGGGCCCGCGCTGGAGCTGGTGCGCGAGGCCGCCGCGCGGCTCGGGGTGCTCGGGCAGCTCCAGGGGGGATCACCGCTGGGGGGGTCACCAGTGCCTCTTGGAACTCGAGGCTCCGGGATCGAGGCACGAGGAGGTTTTGGGACGCTTGGGGCGGTCTTGGAAGGCCATGCAGTGTTTTCTTTGGGGGGCCACTTCCTCGAGGATACGTTTTTTTTTTTTTTTTTTTTTTTTTTTTTTTTTTTTTTTTTTTTTTTTTTTTTTTTTTTTTTTTTCTCTCTCTCTCTCTCTATATATATATATATATCGCTTCCTCCACGAAGGGGCGACCTCCCTAGTGGAGTTCCCCCTTGGCATTGCCCTAGGTGCCCGTGATCGCCGAGGGGCGCTTGTCGTCGCCCTCGCACGTCTTCTCGGCTATGCGAGCGTCGGAGAAGACAACGCGGCGCAAGCAGACGCTTTCGGACCCTGAGATCCTGACGTCGCATTGTTTCCCAACGGGCGATTTCGCCCTATTTCGGGCCCCGGGGCCATCACCCATCAATCCGACTCGAACAATGCCGCAGAAAGATATGTTCTAGGGCTCCAGCCGTGATTCTTTACGATGTTGTGCATTTTTTCGCGACGGGGATCTCAGGGGAGATCCGCCAGGATCTTGGACCAGCGTTGGACCCCACAGTGGGTGGCGCTGGACGCGCATCCACTGGAGGCTCCAACGCCGTCCCAGAGAATCCGCGCGCGGACGTCCAAAAGTGCATGCTTATGTGCCTCTCTCTTTTCTTCGAGAAGCCGGGGCCGCTGGAGTCACGATCGGGGGCGCCATCAACGACCCCGTGAAGACCACGCAAATGCTGCTCAGGGGCGCGCACGCAGGCATCCTGTCGTTCAACGAGTCCTCGCGCAGTTCGAAGAAGAGAATATTGCATAGACATCAAATTTCGGAGGTCCGCGCGGATTTCTTGGATCGGTGCTGGACTCCTCGCTGTTGCGCGAAGCGCGCCAGCCAGGGAGGTCAGCGCCGATCCAAAGAAATGCGCGCAGACTTTGGAATGTTTATGTTTATGCAGTTTTTTGTTCTTTCAGCATCGGGGCGTTCGACATAGGGGGCACTTGGCTTCGCTACGGGCTCTTCAGTGCAGACTGGCGCTTGCTCCGAAAGGAGCGCCTTCCTCTGCCGAAGACTGCCGCCGAGCGCAGGACGTGGATGCTCGAGCAAGTCTCTGTGGACGGCGTCAGCTGCGTCGGCGTCTCCACAGGGGGTGTGGTCCACCCTCTCACGGGCGTGGTGACCTCTGCGAAGGAGGAGGTGATTCCAGACCATGTGGGCTTTGATTTCAAGGAGCTGTTCGCTCCGTTGCCGGTCGTGGCGCTGAACGACGGCCTGGCCACAGCGTGGGCACACGCATGCTTGCCATCAAAGAATGCGCAAACACGGCACAAACACATACTTTCGGAGGTCCGCGCGGAGTTTTCTCGGGTCGACGCTGGACCACTTCCCTGGCGCGCCGAGCGTGCCAGGGGCGGCGTCGGGAACGCCGCCAGGAGGGCACAGCGCCAATCCAAGAACACCTGTTGGAGCTTCGAACGCTTACGTTCGTGCCGCCTTTCTCTGTTCTGCGCCAGAGTTCGCGGGGCTCCGAGTTGCCACCTTGGCGCTCGGTACCGGGGTTGGCTGTGGCTTCGTCAACGAGCACATGCAGCTTCTCATGGGCACCGGCGGGGCCCCCCCCAGTCTGAACGACCTGCTGGCGCCGGTTGCGTCTCCAGATCTGGTGTTGTCAGGGGTGGCCCTGGCTCAGGGTGAGCCCAGTTTTCCCTCAGGGGTAAGGAGCACTGATTCGCTCCAGCAGTTTCAAGATCTCCACGATTTCCCAGTGCCCATGGATCCGCACGGACTCCAGAAACGAGGATTTCTGGCAATCCTGGAACGCATTTCTGGCAAATCGTATCACTACGTTCTTCTCTTCCTATTTCCAGTGAGGCCCAGGTCGCCTCAGGAGCGCCGCTCTTCCAGTTTCCCCGCTCCCATCCCCTTCCTGGAGGGGGAACCCATACCGATACCGCTGCTCGTCCCTTCTTTTTCACGGCTGGATTCTCATCGGAATTCTGGCCAGAATGCACCACGGGAGAGGTCCGAGGAGTAGTTCCCTCACAGCTCTTCTTCTTATTATTCGTCTTCTTCTTCGTCTTCTTCTTCTTCTTCTTTTTCTTATTCTCCTTCTTCTTCTCCTTCTCCTCCTCCTCTTCCTCCTCCTCCTCCTCCTCCTCCGCCTCTCCATCGTTTGTCCTCTAGGCATTCCGCGTCTCGCGAGGGCGCTGGAGGTGGCCCACTGGCTCCGGCTTGTGGGGCAGCGTACCAGGGAGTTACTCCCCTGCGATCGCCATGCGATTCCGCGCCGTCCGCGGAGTCTCTGGATTCCCGCCGCCTCCAGGCGCCGCGCGAGCGTCGCCGCGCATTGCCGTTTTCAGCTTGGCCAGGGGGAAGAGGGAGGGGGGATTTCGGAAAAGGCCTCGTCGACTTGCGCCTCTCGGTGGTGGCCAAAGTCGGCGGCGGCGCCTGCTGGCAACGAGCCCCTGGATTCGATCCGGCGCGCCGCCGACGTCGATTCGACCCCGCCGCACTTTGCCGGGCAGGCGGAGGGCGAAACGGGGAACCCGTTTGCGAAGCAGGATGAGGGGGGCTTCTGGGCGGGGATGGGGGAAGGAGGGGGGCCGCAAGAGGCGGCAGAGGCGGGGTGCGAGCCCGTGGAAACGCGCCGCAGACCATGCGCGGCGGATTTGAGTCGCAGCCTTCCAGGCGAAGCGTTCCCCGTGCAAGGGGAACGGTTTGTTGGCAGCGGCCCGCGCGACCCTGCGAAAGAACAAGTTTTTTGATGAATCCGTTCTGCACGCGGGTCAGAGATGAGGGAGTAAGCCGCCTAGGTGAAGCCATCAAGCGGGTATATCGGACGCCGAGGTGTCTACTCCTGTCCTTTGCAGCGTGTAGTCCTTCAAACAGGAGGGGACCCATCTCACTTGGCCCAGAAGGGCCCAGGGGCACCGAGACGGCGTGAAAAGCTGAGGATGCCTCAGGCCATGGGCACTGTTGGCAACGCCCGACCAGACGGCGGCGTCGGGACCTTCGAGCAGGCCCTGGGGGGGCTGCACCTTGGGAGGAGCTCAGGGGCAACGATCAAGGGATAGCTTCAGGAGGGGGGGGCGCATCGACCCCCCGATCGCCCGTTCTTCGCATCGCCGATCCCAGCTCGATGTCCCCTGGCCCTCTGAGCAGGTCCCCTGGTGGTTTTCGGACCATATCTCGGGCTTCAGGCGGCCGTTCGGGACGATCCGGGCAGCGACGCCCCTCGGCGAAGCGCAGCCGCTGGAAGTCATCCCGGGGCTGGCACGCGGCCGAGACCCAACAGAGACGTCCGAACACCTCAAACCTCGAACCTCAAACCTCGATGTTCCTTTTCCCCCCGCCCTGAGCCGGCCCCTCTCATGTCGCCCCCGAGGAGCACCGACAGGGACGGCGCCCTCCTCAGGGCGAGGAGTGCCGCGTCCGCCGCGCTCTCCACCGTGAGCGCCCTGTGGCTCCCCGACGCCGTGGTCATGGCCGGCGGCGTCGGGCTGGGGGCTGGCCTCGTGGACACGGGCGGCACGCACGCAGTCTCCGACAGCTTGGCGGCGCGCGCGAGAGGGGGCGATGATTGCGGAGAGCGGTGCTCAGCTCATAGGAGGGGCAGGTACCGATACCGGTACCCTGCGCCAGTTTTCCCGTTTTTTCGGCCTCCTCGGAGGCCCCCGTCGCCACCGCTGGATTCGCCTCGGAGTTCTGGTCAGAGCGCACCCCAGGGGAGTCTCGGGGGAATAGCGGTATCGGTGCCCTGTACTTTCCCCATCAGCTGTTGGGCCAACTATTCTTCGACGGCGGAAGACAGCCCAACAGAGGCCAACAAGGGCCCCCGAGGGCCCCGAAGAGGGTCCAGGAAAGGGGCGAAGATGGGCCGATGGGCCCGCAGGCCTTCTGAGAAGGCAGGGGGGGCATCCCAGAAGGCAGGGGCCGTCTCATTGAGGGGCCTGGAGGCCTCTTAAGAAGGAGGTTTCTCGGAAACAGGGACTGGGCGACGAAGAGGCCACCTGAGCGAGTTCGAATAATGGGGCCATCTTCGCGGACATTCGCGCGTCAGTTGCCCGCGCAAGGTCGCGCGTAAGCGCCCTCGTTTCCAATGCGGCGTGTCGCGCTGGCTGCCCGTGTAAGCCGCCGCGTCAGGTCGCTGTGTAATCGTGTTTAAGACCCGTTTCTTTTCGCCGTTCATTTGCTTTCTCAGAAGCCCTTGGCATCGCTCGGACCTGCGCATATTTATCGGCGAGGTCAGCGCGAGAACATTGAAGCATCTGAGACCAACTTGAGAAAACACGCACAAAACTATACAGTGCACGGGGAATGGACGTCCGAGCGATGGCAAGATCGGCATCACCCACACACACACACACGCACACACACACACACGCACGCGCACGCGCACGCGCACGCGCACGCGCACGCGCACACACACACACACACACGCGCACACACACACACACCACACACCACACACCACACACCACACACCACACACCACACACCACACACCACACACCACACACCACACACACACACACCACACACCACACACCACACACCACACACCACACACCACACACAACAACACAACACACAACACACAACCCACAACACACAACACACAGCACACAGCACACAACACACACACAACACACACAACACACACACACAACACACACACACAACACACAACACACAACACACAACACCAACACACACACACACACACACACACACACACACCACACACCACACACACCAACCACACACCACACACCACACCACACCCAACACACAACACATACAACACACAACACACACACACACACAACACACAACACACAAACACACACACACAACACAACAACACACAACACACAACACACAACACACACACACACAACCACACAACACACAACACACACACAACACACAACACACAACACACAACACACAACACACAACACACAACACACAACAACACACACACACAACACACAACACACAACACACAACACAACACACACACAACACACAACACACAACACGCACACACACACACACCACACAACACACAACACACAGCACACAACACACAACACACAACACACAACACACAACACACAACACACAACACACAACACACAACACACACCACACACCACACAGCACACAGCACACGACGCACGACGTACGCACGCGCACGCACGCACGCACGCACGCACGCACGCACACACGCACGCACGCACGCACGCACACACGCACGCACGCACGCACGCACACACGCACACACGCACACACGCACACACGTGCGTGCGTGCGTGTGTGCGTGCATGCGTGTGTGCGTGCGTGCGTGCGTGTGTGCGTGCGTGCGTGCGTGTGTGCGTGCGTACGCGTGCGTGCGTGCACGCACGCACACCGC